TTCTATATATTTCATGTACATTATTATAGCGTATACAAGTAGACAAACGCAGTCTTCTTATTGGTTGTTTCCCGGAAGTTAAGCAGACAAACGCAGTTTTCTGATTGGTTGCTTCGGGTAACCTCGGAAAGTGGAGCCACCTATCTTCGAATCATATTCGCCGACGTTAAGTCTGCTGTGATTGATTGTTGAATCAGTCTTGTTCATATTTTCTCATGGCCAATATTAGTGACCTAGACATTGACGTAGATTAATGTCTACCAATTGGCTAGCAGCCTGTTCTCACCACACTCGTCCGCCCATCAAATAGCTTCGTGCGCAGACGTTCCGACCTTCTGGGTGCTACATCACCTAGTTGAGGATTGTTAGCGACCGGCTTGTCCCACTATACCCATCGTTGGAGCTGACTGGCGTTAACTCGTTTCTGTCTGTCACCTCTTCGGATGGTATACACTTGACCCCGTTTTTTTGTGGTTGTGTACGGTCCTTCCCACTTTGGAAGGAGTTTTCGTGAACCTGGCCCGCATCCAACTGCACATCTTCTGTCTCTACACTTCACTTGGTCCCCGACTGCAAAGGTAATGCACTGAGTCTTTTCTTTTCAGCTGAGACTTCGCGACATCACTCCGCTGCTTCTGCATTGCATTCTTGACTGCCTCTTACCGCTCTGCTTTTAATTTCGTCGTACTCCACTTTTGGTGAAGGGGCCAGGTCTCGTCGTGAATCGGTAATCGTGATTTTTTACCATACATCCGTTGGAAGGGTGACTTCTTCGTGGTTTCCTAAGTGGTAGCACGATGTGTAAGTAAAATCAGTGGAAGCTTCGTTTCCCAGTTACCGCCCTTCGAGGCCAGCCACGCCTTCAGTGTACGGTTGTTTCTCTCCGTTAGGCCATTCGTTTGTGGATGATATGGGGTCGTTCTGATCCCCTACGATTCCTCCGACCAAACAAACTTCGGCTCACCTAGTAGCCTGTACAGAGGGGCTGCTATCTCATTGAAGCTCTTCACGAAGCGACTATAAAACGCTGCTCTACCCAAGAATTGTCTCAATTTTCTCTTTGTATTTGGAGCTGGAATCGTTTTTATCGTCAAAATTTTCTCCGGTAGTGGTTTAATCTCACTATTTCCCACTTTATGTCCCAACAGAGTAACATTCTTTTTGGCTATCTGAGACTTGGTTTTGTTGACGCGCAGTCCAAACTCTTCGATGCGTCTCAGCACGGCTTCTACATGGTTCACATGACCCTTTTTATTTTTGACTGTATATGACGAGATCATCACCATACACCTCCACGTTTTTCAAGTTCTTGAGTAATAGCGTCATCAGTCGTCTGAACGTAGACGGTGCACCCGCTAGTCAAAACGGCATGCGTTTAAATCGATATTGTGTCTGACCCTCGATGAATGCCGTCTTATCTGTCACCTTGTTTTATCGGTATCTGCCAGTATCCTGAGCAAAGATCGAGAACCGAAAACACATACGCGCCTTGTAGGCGATCTAAAGTTTCTACCACTGTTGGCATGGCACACGGTCTTAACTCTGTCATACTGTTTAACTGTCGAAAATCAACACAGAATCTATACTTCCCATTCGCTTTTTTTACTGACAGCACTGGAGAGTTGTATGGGCTATCAGCTTCCTCAATAATATCATCTTTTAACATCTCTTGCACTTGTCGCTCCACTTCGCCTTCCAGATGACATGGAACGCTTCGTGTTGTGAATGACCTTAATTTTGGATCACTTAATGGAATTTCATGATTCACCTTGTCGCAATAACCGTATGGGTCGCCATCTCCAGTGAACAGATGATCGTATTTATCAATTAACTCTGTCATATTGTATACCGTCGACAGCTTCACCGCTGGTCTCATACATGTTGATATGTCCGTATTTCGTGATCACAACGTTCGCTTGCGTGTCGATTATTGCACCAATCTCACGCAGAAAATCCGCTCCCAATATCGTTCGCTGTAGTTCGTGTGCAACAATGAAAGGAAACGTCACCTCGCAGCCGCCGACAACGACCGTACAGTTCAATCTACCCGTGATACGCAACACATGCCCGCCTACTGTTTGTACTGTCAATGAACACGGACTAAAACTCTTATATAAGTTCTTATGTATTAACGATATGACCGCCCTTGTATCTACTAAACATACAAGTTCTCGATAATTCACTCTCAACTTCGACTATACAGCCCCATTCTCAATAGCCCCCACTAAATCTGGTTCCATACGAGAGAAAGAACAAGTATTATATCGTCTGAAACTTTTTCTTTCTGGGCAGTATCTCCTCCAGTGTCCCGGCTTACCGCATTCAAAACATCGGTCTTTTCTATCACCCAACTTTAACGCCACCACTTCCCGCTGCAATGCTTCAATTTTCTGCTCATATTTGTTTGGTTTTGGTTGGTCTATAGCGGCTACCGTTGTGCTCAGCAGCTGTCTGGTCACCTTCGCCAGCTCGCTAATATCCATCGGCTGCGTTGCGTTAACCAGTTGTAATCGCTGAGAAATGTGGTCTGGGACACTCTCGATGAGTTGGGAAGACAATAACTGCACTTCTGATTCTTCATCCAAAGTGGGAAGCGCACGTCAAAGTAGATTCACCAATCTCACCGCCAACACTAACGGGTCACCATCAGGTCCCAGCTTCGTTGACCGGAACTGCTGCATTTCTAGCTGTCTGCATGTTGCTCTGTCAAACTCCGACACCAATCGTTCAACCAATTTCTTACAAGTCTCTGTGCCATTTGACCTATCTACGCCGTCATATGCCGCCTTCGCTCGGCCTCTCAACAGCGTCCCCAGAACAACTGTTTTCGCCGCCTGCTCCTTGACACCCACCACTTCAGCGTCGGCCTCGAAGTCATGTAAGAAGCACCGTATGTCTCCTTCTTCAAACGCAGATGGCCACGGTATCTTCATTTTGGGGGGGGGGGGCAACGACACACAATGCAACAATAAAAGACAAGGGCCGGCAACAGATCATTTTATTACGGAAATCAGCACATATTTGTATATATTTCATGTATATTATTATAGCTTATTCAAGTAGACAAACGCAGCTTTCTGATTGGTTGTTTCGGGTAACCTCAGAAAGTGTGGCCATCTATCTTTGAATCATATTTGCCCACGTTAAGTCTGCTGTGATTGGTTGTTGAATCAGTCTTGTTCATATTTTCTCATGGCCAATATTAGTGACCTAGACATTGACGTAGATTAATGTCTACCAATCGGCTAGCAGCCTACTCTCACCACAATCTCACCCTAGCTGTACTCTCTCTCCATAAACACTTGTAGCATTTTTTAATGCAATACACAACTTTTTACCGATCAAATTGCGATATGTGTGTTAACATTAATTAATGTCAACCTGTCTGGAAGACTGGGCGGTGGCGGTGCAAAGTAGTGAAGTTACGCACCTATAGACTACAGAATGCAAGTTACACCCTGTGCAATGTAAGCTTGTCCTGCACAATTTCGGAACACGACATAGGTCTAGTTCTGACGGAAAAAATGGACACAAGCGTAAATGTAGCGAGGGCATATGCGGTCATACACTTTACGCATAGACAGATAGGTGCAATCACCCCTGAGCTCTTTCTAAGGTTGTACATAACTTACGTCAGGCCACACCTTGAGGTGCATAATATTATTGCACCCCCAATGCTGAGAAGAGATGCAAACTTCTTGGAAAGAGTCCAACGACGGACAACAAAAGGAGTGGTTGGTCTCCGAAACAAACCATATGATGAAAGGCTGAAGAAATTAGACCTGTTCACACTTAGCTACCGTCGGCTTAGGGGGATTTGATTACTGCCTACAAAATAACAAATGACCAGAATCACCCAAACAAAGGTGTTCTGTCAGTGAGTAGGTATAGGCTCCCACTTGGAAATCCCAGAATGATAGCTCACCAGAGGGCAAGGACCCGGGTGCGCTCCCACATCTTTTCACTGCGGGTTTTCCATCCCTGGGATTCCTTACCGGCAGATGTAGCTATGGCACCGTCTTTGGACGCCTTTAAGCGAAAGCTGGACAACCAGGTAGCGTCACGAGGACTGCATCCAAGTGGCCTATCTCCTTAAAATCGCATACACCATTCAGGGGTAGACAATTAAACTCGTCGTTTTACTTCTTTACAATCTTTCCCGTCTCACTCTCCTGACAACTTTAACTACACCTATTATTTTTATTATCATTATTACCGATATAAATATATTTAATTCAAATTATTCTTCAAATTTAATCAGCTGACTATTGTTACGCTTTCCTATTTCCGTTTCTGTCTGTTAGTCTGAATAACTTCACTAATTATACCTATTATTATCATTATTATTACTATCTCTTTTCTCTTGTCGACGATGCCGGAGGACTAACCGGTGAAAGGATCAACTCCACTCACAAAATTAACAGTCTTAACACACCTCATACTACAAACCACATAAAATTAATCCCAGCACTACTCCCTTTGGAGTCCACCAAAGCTACAACAGTCGAGTGGCGAGACGAGCTACGCAGAAGTTTACCGAAGATCAGGAACCTATACCTCACAATCAAGAAGCGAGCACAAAGAAATCAAATTGGTTTATACTAGCTCGTAAAAACGATATTGGATGTCAGCGTAGACGACAATTAACCGAGAAAATTATTAAACACACTCGAAATGTAGAAATCGTTACAACAAGTGAATTGCATAATGCATAATTTTTTTTGGAATAAAAGGGAAGAGTTATATAAGGAATAAGCATGTGCTCAAGTTGATTGCATAACAGACTGTTAAAGTGAAAAATAAAACAATTTAGACAATAAATTATAAAGTAATTTGGACAATTATGATTTCTAAAATGCTTGTTATACAATCATTCATCCAACAATTCCAAAGGTAAGGAAGGTGTGACTGTACGAATTTCTCCTAAAACTCACAGTGATTGGATTCTTCATGTGGATCTCTGTGGCTTCAGATGTAGCTAGAAAACGAATTCGTCAGGCAAAAGTAAGATTAGTTGGAATGCGACAAATTACTGTAAATGCTCTAATAACCTCAACATTATGCTCACTGCCGATAAGGCGTGGTAAAACAGAGCTACGAATAGATCTTGTTTCTTCTTGGCTTAACCATGCACAATGATTTTCGCAAATACAATGGCAAACCTGCCTAACTGTACACCCGATGTAGCTGGCTCCCCCACCACAATCAAACCACGGTAGATAAACATGAGTAATGTAGTTTTCCCTCATTTGTTGAAGGTAAAATAGAGGTGTTAGCGATGAAACAAGATACCTGAGCTGCGCCGAAAGCACTTTGAAATCGAATTCTTCAGGCATTGTCTTACTATTGCATTAATGTTTTCACTGTGGACTGCAGTTTCATGAACTATGCCATTTTTGGAGGGGTTACTTGCCCTACTGCTTTGTTTTGGCGCTCAACTCATATTTTTTCCAAATGAAATCGTCTAGATTAACCATTTTTACTCAGTAATTCTCCGCTAACTGTAAACTGCACATTAAAAGAGTGGTTAGAGAAGATTATCTTAGATATGTGGACTAATTTATTTTTATTTTTGATTTACAGCTTGATTCCACACTGTATTTTTGGTACAAGTATGGAATTTTCAGCATGGATATCGGTAGCCCAAATTTTGCAGGCCAACCATAGATATCAGGTGTGCGCCGGCGTGGGCTCGAACCCCGGACCATGTGCATGGTCGGCGAGAGTCCTAACCACTGTCCCACCGACGCACTTTACAAATTTCAGTTTTATGAAAAAAGAGAAGACATTCAGCGAAGACTCTTCTCGCCGGCGATTTCATTCACATAGCTGTACAATCGCATTTACATACAATTATTTGTGTGTGTGTGTGTACATGAAGTTTGTCAAGTTTAGATAATTGATCAGGTAATACAAGAATGATCTAATATTGAAACAAGGTTAATTAAACAGCAACTAAAGTAAGATTCAGTTCTTTAGTAAGTTAGATGACGTAATATAATTGACTAAAATGTTTCAACTTAGGTCAGGGTAGCAACATTGGTTATTACAGGTAGAGACTAGGTAGAAGTGGCGTGGTGGAGAATAATGCCACATAAATTAGAACTGAAATTGAGCGAATAAGTTGGATGACGTAACATAAGTGACTAGAAATTGACCGTCGGTCAAGTAAACTCAGTAATAGTGGTAATAAGGTGTAGAAATTATATCAGGTGGGGGTAGAGAACAAGAAAGTTGAAAATGCAAAATATTACAATTAAAAAGATAAAATAATACTAATGAAGAGATAGAAAAGAAGAGGATTACGTAGGATTTACTTGTCACGTATTAAGAAAGATCAGGTCCATTACAAGTGTAGTGACTGAACAAACTTCCTCCGTATGCAGAGTTCAGGGTTTAGCAAGTGAATCACCATTGCTTCTGCAATTTGAAGAAGTCTGACTCCTACATCTTTAGGAAGATTGCTTCCTACTATGTAGACGACTTTGAAGTTCGTTTGAGATGCAGCTTGATGTCCGGATTCTATCAGATGTACTAAGATAGAGCTGCGGAAACCTCGTTTTCCTCCTTTGTAAAACCATCTTCGTGAGTGTTCCGTGATACACTTGGAAAGCGTTATAATCGAAAATTCTAGAACTAACATATCATTCTACGTTTCCTATCCACACTCCTCCTCTCAATGCCCCATCAATCTAACTCGTGAAGAAGACAGTTAGAAATGACGTACTATACCTAATTGATTCCCCTGTGAGTCAAACAGACACAGATACTACTCTACAACGAGAAACAAAGGCGAGTACGAAACTCCAAACGATATTTAGTGTAAAACCATGACCACTCATACAACAAAATACCACAACACTATCACAACACATCACTATCCCACCACCAACACCACCACAACAACAACAACAACAGAAAACAGTCATCAACTTACACAGCCTTAACCACTCCTCTGAAAACACCTCACACACAACACACAACACCACACACACCGTCATCCTCCATCACCAACATCATCATCGTCAAACAACTACAAACATCACCACACATAAAATCACATCACTACATATCACATCACATCACATCGAATACAACATCATTACACAACTCAACTACACTCAAAAATATAATCAAACTACACTAAACTACACAACGCTACGCTACACTACGCTACACAAAACCACACCAAACCACACCACACCACACCTCACCTCACTTCACTTCACTTACTCTGTCGATCCGCCGACAACCGCTACCATCCCCAACACAACTAATTCACAACAGTACCACCAACCGAATCCATCCACAGTTCAAGGACCTGAAATGAAACAAACATAAGACATTTACTATACTCACTCAAATAACTAACACAAACAACACCAACAACAACAATCATCAGGAGGACCAATATTCAAATTCAACAAAGTCGAAAGAATAACGACTTCTCAGGACAATTGAACATCATTCAAATACTACATACCAAACAACCAACCAACCAAACAAACAAACAAACAAAAAACAACAACAACCGGTCATCACATTCACACCCTCCACAAACGTCATCATCACCCCACCAGTCTCACAAACTGCAGTACCAACAACAACAACAACAACAACCACGAACCAACTACACCTACAACAACATCAACCACAAAACCATCAACAACACAACACTACACAACACAACACAACTTCATCAACCACCTTTCCACCCATAAACACACACACACACACGCACACACACTCACTCACTCACTCACACATCACAATGCAACTGTAGGCTGCACATGAAACAGGCTGTGATACACACAAACCTGGGATTAACTAAACAGCCCAACAAACCTCCATTTCGCCCCACTGATTAGACACCATCAATTATACAAACAGTGTCTTGCCCAGGAGGGGCAACCACACCACACCACAACACCACCCAACCACAACAACAGACTACAACGTAACACAGAACGCACGCACGCACGCACGCGCCCTCGCGCGTAGCCACACAAGTCTTCATCTAAAACCCCAAAGCATAACACCCTCCATCTCACAATATCAACACTCCAAACACCACACCCACACAACAAACAACCACAACACCATCACAACACATCACTATCCCACCACCACCACCACCACAACAACAACAACAACAGAAAACAGTCATCAACTTACACAGCCTCAACCACTCCTCTGAAAACACCTCACACACAACACACAACACCACACACACCGTCATCCTCCATCACCAACATCATCATCGTCAAACAACTACAAACATCACCACACATAAAATCACATCACTGCATATCACATCACATCACATCGAATACAACATCATTACACAACTCAACTACACTCAAAAATATAATCAAACTACACTAAACTACACAACGCTACGCTACACTACGCTACACAAAACCACACCAAACCACACCACACCATACCACACCTCACTTCACTTCACTTCACTTACTCTGTCGATCCGCCGACAACCGCTACCATCCCCAACACAACTAATTCACAACAGTACCACCAACCGAATCCATCCACAGTTCAAGGACCTGAAATGAAACAAACATAAGACATTTACTATACTCACTCAAATAACTAACACAAACAACACTAACAACAACAATCATCAGGAGGACCAATATTCAAATTCAACAAAGTCGAAAGAATAACGACTTCTCAGGACAATTGATCATCATTCAAATACTACATACCAAACAACAACAACAACAACCGGTCATCACATTCACACCCTCCACAAACGTCATCATCACCCCACCAGTCTCACAAACTGCAGTACCAACAACAACAACAACAACAACAACCACGAACCAACTACACCTACAACAACATCAACCACAAAACCATCAACAACACAACACTACACAACACAACACAACTTCATCAACCACCTTTCCACCCATAAACACACACACACACACGCACACACACTCACTCACTCACTCACACATCACAATGCAACTGTAGGCTGCACATGAAACAGGCTGTGATACACACAAACCTGGGATTAACTAAACAGCCCAACAAACCTCCATTTCGCCCCACTGATTAGACACCATCAATTATACAAACAGTGTCTTGCCCAGGAGGGGCAACCACACCACACCACAACACCACCCAACCACAACAACAGACTACAACGTAACACAGAACGCACGCACGCACGCACGCGCCCTCGCGCGTAGCCACACAAGTCTTCATCTAAAACCCCAAAGCATAACACCCTCCATCTCACAATATCAACACTCCAAACACCACACCCACACAACAAACAACCACAACACCATCACAACACATCACTATCCCACCACCAACACCACCACAACAACAACAACAACAGAAAACAGTCATCAACTTACACAGCCTCAACCACTCCTCTGAAAACACCTCACACACAACACACAACACCACACACACCGTCATCCTCCATCACCAACATCATCATCGTCAAACAACTACAAACATCACCACACATAAAATCACATCACTACATATCACATCACATCACATCGAATACAACATCATTACACAACTCAACTACACTCAAAAATATAATCAAACTACACTAAACTACACAACGCTACGCTACACTACGCTACACAAAACCACACCAAACCACACCACACCACACCTCACCTCACTTCACTTCACTTCACTTACTCTGTCGATCCGCCGACAACCGCTACCATCCCCAACACAACTAATTCACAACAGTACCACCAACCGAATCCATCCACAGTTCAAGGACCTGAAATGAAACAAACATAAGACATTTACTATACTCACTCAAATAACTAACACAAACAACACTAACAACAACAATCATCAGGAGGACCAATATTCAAATTCAACAAAGTCGAAAGAATAACGACTTCTCAGGACAATTGATCATCATTCAAATACTACATACCAAACAACAACAACAACAACCGGTCATCACATTCACACCCTCCACAAACGTCATCATCACCCCACCAGTCTCACAAACTGCAGTACCAACAACAACAACAACAACAACAACCACGAACCAACTACACCTACAACAACATCAACCACAAAACCATCAACAACACAACACTACACAACACAACACAACTTCATCAACCACCTTTCCACCAATAAACACACACACACACACGCACACACACTCACTCACTCACTCACACATCACAATGCAACTGTAGGCTGCACATGAAACAGGCTGTGATACACACAAACCTGGGATTAACTAAACAGCCCAACAAACCTCCATTTCGCCCCACTGATTAGACACCATCAATTATACAAACAGTGTCTTGCCCAG